TAAATAAATGACTCATCGTTTGATAATACTATAATATCGTTTGATAATGCCATTATCATAATTACTAATTGTTATTTTATTCTTTGTATAAAATTTGTTTTCTTTTAATATACGTAATCGTTTGCCAATGTCGTAAAAGCGTTTCGATGTCTCGATATGAGTTGTACTTTCACGATAGCAGTTTCTCGACGACGTACATTTTCGACTGCGCCTCGATCGCTTTTATAGATCGTGGCGCAGTCGAAAATGTACGTCGTCGAGGACGAGGGTGACACGAGGCTCAAGGCCGTATCGGCGAATGGTGCGTGACAGTTTAGACAAGTTATCCGACACATTCGCGTGCATGGGTGGAAAGTCCTTTTCCACTTGCTTTCTAAAGTTTTTTAAATTTTCACAAAATTGAAAAACAAATATGCCAAAATTTAAAAGCTATGATAATGGAATGTGTTTCCTCCAAAACATTTAAATACATCAAGTCTCGAAAAATGAAGATATTTCGAAATCTCACACGAATTCAAGAGTAAGATTATCATAGAACGCATATTGTTGTCATATTTCATTTTTTAATAAAATTTTTTTTTATATAGCCACAGGAAAAAATCTTTCTTCGTCTGATGTACTAATCATATAACTATCGATAGCTTTTGATAGAAAGTGTTATCGATATGAAATCAATGATATCGAATGAGTACTAACACGCAGAACCCATAAAATTTAAGCCATCTATCTCCTTTTCCACGTTAAATAGGTTGAAGGTTGCTCATTAATTCTCTTCCAGAACGTCACGAATTAATCTAGGAGAGCACCGCTACATATTTAATGAAGATGATTTAGACCCATATAAAGCATTTATCTTGAAAATGGCGCAGATTGCAAATACTATGAAAAATTGCAAATCAAGAAGACTAATATACATCTAACAATAAGTCTTGATACTGATAATGCATTTATAAAATGCTTTGAATTTTCTATAAAAAAAACTTAATGAGCAATATGATTAGCAATATGAATGAAATAACATTTCAATTTTGCTTCTTTTGAATCATGAATGATTGAATCTGAAAATAGCTTTTACATTTCAGAAATCATCAAAAATATAATTCGGATTTCAAAAGAATGTATTAATACGAAATATGCAATATTGCATAATGACCGATCTAAATCAGAACAATTTTGGACAGCTAAATAAAGGTGTAATATCTTGCTTGTCAAATGACATGAGTCAAATCGCAGGCGCAATCGATAGCCTGCGTGACAAACAAATAACTTTCGAAATGCATATGGAATTGTTATGCAGAGTACATTATGCAGCATAATATCGACATGAAAAATTTTTCATATAATATTATTGCTCGTATCAAAATCGTGTTTATTATTATCGCTCTATTTTATAAACTAATTTTTATAAACTAATTTTAAAAGCAACTATATATATATATATATATATATATATATATATATATATATAACATTTATTAATTTTAAATTGGAATATATTAATTTAATTAAATATACATAAATGATGTACACGTTAAACTATATGAGACCTTTTAGTTAAATATATTTAATATTTATTTACATAAAATATTGTATTAATAAAACATGCATTTTACCAAATCTAAACGAAGAAAATATATAGATAATTAAGAAAAATACATAATCATATTAAAATAAAATAATTTTGGATCTCTCTTACCGATTTTCAATATTAATTTCATAATTTTGCAAAAATTGAGAAAAGCACGTATTAACACAAGGGTTCTGTTTAAAGAAAAATGCATAAACAGCGAAGCTTGACGCATTCCGTCCCCTGTGGCTTGCGTAAACGCGATTGACGTTCCAATAACGCGTGCTCTTGCAAATTCTTTGTTCAATATAAATATAGTTTTATCGAATTATTGACCTTCGTTATATGATTATTAATTATGGACCTTCGTGCAATGGCCAATGGTGAAGAAGATGAATCTATTAATCTGGAATAGCTTCGTATTAATCTGAAATAGCTTCGATTATTCATGAGCCGTGCCTGGCACGAAAGATAGCGATTCTCGGGTAAATCACTGATGGAGTTTATTGACAAATGGTTGCTCCTGATTCGCACAATATGCAACATTACGGCATAGCACCACGTTCACTTCATTGATTCGGTCGCGAAATTGTTTTCCTCGCGCGCCAACATTGTGCGCAATTAACGGACTCCTACGGTCTGCGAAACGAACTGTGTAACCACATATGGCATCCGCCATTGAATCGATTGTTTGCAAATAAGCAACGTGTCATGTAATTGCTCGCTGCAATTGTCGCGAAATATGCAAACTTGTAATCACTTTAATACAAAAGCATTTTTTTTTTTTTTCAGAAATAAAGATTTCATCGAAATTCCACGAATATTAAAGAGTTTAAAACCATGAATTTTTTTTCATAACGTCTTGTAGTACATTTAATATTGTACATTTAATTTTATATAGAGGCTACTCCTTCCAGACGCAAATTTGGAAACTTAGATTAGGTTTCGTAAATGAACATATCAATTCTCTGATCCCCAAAGACCTTTTCTAAATTAACTCCGAATTTAGGTAACCCTAAATCTTCGTCTAAACTTGAAAACAACGTTGAACGATGTTTCCGATTCGACTCCAAATGGCTCGTATGTTGCTGGTAAAAGCGAAGAACAAAGTTAGGTCATGGATCGATATTGCACGGTGGAGACCTGAGGGACAACCCGCTTTCCATCCCTCGTTCAAATACGATACCCTTTTCATTCAAATCAACCAAACATGATAGCAAACGCGTATTAGCAGTTATACAAGACGTCTATAAAGAACTTGCACGTATGATATTTTATAAACAAATGCTTTGACGGTGCTGTAATCGAAGAATCTATTCTTAGATTATTATTCATACGTTCTACAATATAGTATAAAGTAAAAATATAAATTTATAATTTATAAGAGATATAGATGTATGACAAAGTATTATAAAAAGCATAGCAGCATAAAAAAATTAAAAGATAGAATATAAAACAATATAAAAAATATATAACAATAAATATAAAACGATAAATGAACAAATTCATTCGAAAAGACATAGTAGGGCTAAAGTAAAAGTGAAAACACGCTTTCTCAATTGCATCATTAGAAGCAGTGAAATATTACAATATTCACAATATTACAGTCTATGCATTCGACAAGGCAAATAGCGATAAGATATTGCACTTTGTCTTAGCTATAATGTATAATTTATGCTAATGACGATCCTATTTATGTTCATAATGGGCAGATATGAAACATTTGACATTAGATAGTCATATACAATATATCATTATATAATGTATATCGTAATCTTATTTATTATTATTAAAAATTTCAATATTTGACGACATATAAATTTTTTTTTAACAAAAAGCTATAATAATTTTTTATTTCTACATCTCAATTTTAAAAGTAGTAATTTTTTATGTCTATCTCAATTCTAGAAGTAGATTAATACGGATCTGCAATATTGATTTTGACTTCAACGTAATTTAACTATCACGAATTTTTTCTCACATGATTGATTTATTGAGGAATGATTGTGGTTTCCAGAAAGGTTTCCAACAATAGCTAGACATCGAGGCACCGTGGCGAAATAGATTTGATTAAACGCGAACGAACGTGGGAGTATTCTCTGGCTAGGATGCTCGTGAAATTCTACCGTCTGCACGACCGGTTCCATTAGAGAGAATCAAAGTTTAAGACCCCGTTCTATTGCAGACACGAAGTTATATGGTCTGTTATCACAGCTAATACATAATTGACAAAAAATCTGTTATCTTTTTATACTTATTTTGAACAATGATAACTATTATCTGATCGTTTTAAATAAACAAATTCATTAAACAAGTTGTTGAAAACATTCAACGTCAGATATAGCTACTAAATATAATGCTACTTATAATCAATAACATTCGATGCAAGATATAGTTGCTAAACATAATGCTATTTATAATACAGGAAATGACATATTTCCTGATTCTACATTTTAAAACTTTGTTCTGTAATGTGAACGCCTTCTAGAAGTTCTATTTGGTGCTATGTCCTACGATTTACGATCTACGACACTATTCATGAAGCAAGCGAGAATAAAATGTTTTTTTTCTAGATTTTAAATTTATCCCAGACTTAAAGAGAATTCTATTCGTATAATTCTTTGACCCTATTCTTAAGATTTCCACTTATGATATTAAAGAAAAAAAGATTCTTGTTGATTCTGTAATTCAAAATTTAACAAGTTTTATCAGAGATATCAGATTTATTTAACTTAGACTATCAATGTATGTTAGAAACGATATGAGACTGATTATCTTTTTCGATTCGCTTTTCTCAAAGCGAAATGAATCACTGCTAAAACGCGCTTATTTCTCTATCATATCTCATGCGACAATCTTCTTATAAACGCTAAAATAACATCAAATATTTAGCAGCTAATTTGGCAACAAACTGGAAATTATTTTGGCTCGTTAATCGCAATATAGCTCGAAGATGAGAGAGTTTACGGCCAAAATATCCGTCAGAAAAACACCTCCGGAAATACCTTCGAGGAAATATTGGAAAAAATGTTCAAACGTGTCAAACGACGCAGAAATAAAACCTAAGTCACGCCAATGACGCGCATTTCGATGGATACTCGATGGATTCGTAACATCGAGTAGAACGATCCCCGAGAAATTCCAAACTCTCACCCTATCAAACGGACAGGGCCATTGCCGAGGGACTACCGTCTATCTAAACCCTTCTTGTCCTTGCTGTTCGTTGAGCCGCTCTTTCACAGCGATTCTCCCTCCCTCTCACCCTCTCTCTCTCTCGGTTCTTCCTCTCTCTTTCACCCTGCTCGTTTTACAGAGAGATGCCGACGAGGTCTGCGTCGGCGCCGACCGACTGGGGATTCGGCGACGTTGCCGATTTGCTCGAACCGGCGGTCGCCACGAGGAGAGTCTGCCGCTCCGATAGAGCCACGGCCGGAGCTCCGTTCCACAGTCGCTTTTTGCATCTGACGCGCGGCGGGCGGATGCGGCCGGCCACCGAGAGCGCGATATGCACGAACGTGTCATGTGACACGCGTGACAAGTGGTGCGCGCTACGGCGTTGCTGCACACGACGCCTGACGGGGACGGTTATCGGGATAGAAGGAGACCGAGAAGGCGTGACAAAGAGAGAGATAGATAGCTCGAGAGAGAGCAAGAGAGGGGGTAGGGGATAAGAGACGAAAGAAAATAAACCGTTTTCGTGTGTATATCCTCGGTGCTTGCTTGAGATCACCGGTGTCGGTTTAATGTTATTGATGGACTGATATTTCCTTGCAATTTTGTGGTGCCTCTTGTCCCGTTGCCGATACGGTACGGTACAGGTGTGCGCAATTATGTTACCGGTGCGACACGACGGCAGCATTAACGGACGACGACACGCTGTTAATTCCGTCATCTTCGAAACATCGGTCATCGTCAGCATCGGTATCGTCGTCGTTGGCCGCATCAGGAGATTCCTCGACACACCCATCGTCGTGAAACACGTCGGTGCCGTCGGATTCTTCGCGAACGGTTAGGCTCCAAGAGCTCTCTTCTCTTCTTTGTGTTACTATCCGTCCCACTTTGTCCTTAGGAGCAAAATATTTGGGGTAACCTGCGGGGAACACGGCCGTGATTTTCGGTAGGTAGATAGTAAAGCGGAAAAAAACCAAGAGATTCAGGAGGGGGGGAAGCTTTTAGACACACGTGGCCGAATGATCGATATATCGAAATTACTGCCGATGTTGAATGGATAGAAAAAAAAAGAGAGAAACAAAGTAGAATCCGATCGTGAGCTATGATAAAGTCTTTGTGTCTTGGTCAATTTAGCAGATAGTCTAGGATCGGTTAGAAAGGACTAGTTTGAAAAAGATTTACGTACGAAAGCCCCTTCGTCGGCAACATGAGAGAATCACTGAATCCATGAAAATCGTCACATTGCAGGTCTTAGGAATGCGGGAACGGGTGGCGAGGGAAAGCGGTGGTCTGCGCTCGAGGTGGTTGATCTTTCTGGTCGCGGTGATAGCAGCGGTGCGGGTCGCGGGTGCACCCTCGAACATACTGTCATCGGTCACATCAGCCACTTTACAAATAAAATGTCCCGGTGGTTGCTACTGCAGGGACATCAACAACGGTGGCACCCTGTCATGCGAGGAGCGCAGTTTCCTCGGTCTTGGCTTGCCCCGAAATATTACGACCGTATGGTTGAAGAATGTTCAAGCGGCCGCGATTCCAGTGTCCGCTTTAGAGGCATCCGTAGGGTTGCGAAGTCTGACGTGGACGTCAAGCGGTATCGAGAGCGTAGAATCTGGTGTGTTCCGTACCATCCCGCATCTCGAGCGACTCGATCTAGGTGATAATCGGCTGTCCGAGCTGCCATCGGACGTCTTCCATCCGTTGCATCAACTCCAGTACCTGAACCTCACCGGCAATCGGTTAGTCGCGCTGCCGCAGCTGCTGTTTGACGGCCTGAATCGTCTTCGGGATATTCGTCTGGAGACGAATCTACTCTCCGTACTGCCTTATCAGGCGTTCGCGCCCGCTCGAGAGCTCATGCGACTTGATCTCAGTGGTAATCTTTTGGTTTCGCTGCCGGATCACAGTTTTCAACCGAATCAACAATTGCAGGAGCTACGATTGGCCCGTAACCGATTGACCAAACTACCGTCTCGGTTATTTTCTGGCTTGACTCAACTAAAAGAGCTCGATCTCGCTAACAATGAGATCGACACGTTGCCGCGTGGCCTTTTCAGCGACCTCACGGCCTTGGAGCGCCTCAACCTCGAAAACAATCCAATCACACGTTTTACCGACATCGCGTTTCAAGGCCTCGTCAATCTACAATGGCTCAGACTGAGTGGTTTGCCAATCTCATCGCTACCCGCGAATGTGTGGCGACCCGTTAGCAAACTGAGGACCCTCCTGTTATCTGAAACTAAACTGGAGAATCTCCGGAATGGGAATCTAGCGGGTCTGATGGAACTGGAAAGTTTGGAGATCACTAATAGCCAGTTGCGCGAGATCGGTCAATTGACTCTAAATGAGACACCATCTCTACGTAGAATCGACTTGCGGAATAACGATCTAACGTTTTTACCGGCGAATGTAGCGAATTTACCGCTACTAGAAGAGCTACAGCTGCAGGGCAATCCATGGGCTTGCGATTGTCGTATGTTCTGGTTTCTCAAGTGGGCGGAGAGCAGGACGCATTTACAAACGGCTTTCCAAAGTGGATTGAAATGCGGCCATAAAGTGGATGGCACTGTCGACATCCTGCAGACATTAAGTTACCTCAAGTGTAGTCGGCCAATTTTGGTGCGAGCTACCAATACCCAGCAGTATCTTCTCTTAAGCTCAGTATTGCTGGAATGTGAGTTCAGCGGAAATCCTGCGCCTTCCTTGACCTGGGTCACTCCGAGCGGCCTGGTTTTCCACTGGATGCCGGATCCGGCCTTTCCCGATGCCTTCGTCGAACATCCGCCCGTACACAGTTGGTTGACGAACCAGCCGATCGTTGACGATCATCGCATACGTGTTCTGGAGAACGGTTCTCTTTATATCACAAAGTTGTTACGGCAAGATGTGGGCAAGTACAAATGCACGGCAGTGAATCCGATCGCAAATGAGACTATCTACGTAACGTTACACATGGATCCGGTAACCTTGAATAATATAAAGCTCTTCAGCATCCTGGTCGGCGCAATCTGTGCTGTGGTGTTTCTTCTATTGACATTGTTGCTGCAACTACTGCGGTACTTGTTGTTGAAGTGAGTATCATGATACATAAAGTGATGATATATTCAATATATACATCGTATTTTTTTCATTTTCACAACACATCTTTCGTACATCTTGCGACATTGTATAAAATGCATTGTCAGTATTATCAATCTGTTAACAGTTCGCGAGTGATGGTAATTGTTTGTCAAAAACATCAACTTTGACGAGTAGAGTAAACGATTCGCAAGAAAGTTAGATGTAATAATTTCACTTCTAGCTATTCTAGTGATTTTCTATTTTCTCTTTCATACTCTTCAATTAATAGTTTTCTCATATTTTTCGCAGATGTGGATGCGTCAAATGGTGCTTGTGTTGTAGACGTGTAGGAGTAACGCCGCGAGCCAAGCAAATCTACCAGATGCTTGACAACATTGAGCAGTACAAGAGCCAACAGCTTGAAAGACTGAGGGAAAACTATACCCAGCAGGTGCACAGAATTAAAGACAACTGCGCTCAGCAAGTGGAATGGATTCGCGACAGCTACGAAGGTCAAATGCAACATATACGGGATATACGGGATTATGGTACCAGCCACCTGACCGCGCTGAGAGATCAGTATTATGATCAGGTACGATATTCTGTGTAAATTATTTTTTTATGGCAGTATTGTTCGCAATTAAATTCAATCTTTTTTTTATTATCATATTCTATGATGATACCTGATCTACGTGATTTCGTTGCAACGCATAAATTGTTGTGCGCGAAGTAACAAAAAAATCTTATACGTGCAAAGTTTATTACATTGTTTTGATCTGCGCGCGCATCTCGATTCGTTAATGAAACAATTCTTTATTGAGAAAGCACGATCAAGATTAACAGTCACGTAGCACAGAGTAATCATAGAAATAATACGAGATATTACTGTATATATAATAGATATACATAATAATCGCGTTTATTTTTCTACTTTTTCGCAGGTAAAGAGAGTAAGGGATTACTCCACTAGCCAGCTAAACTGGGTGCGCGAGAATTACGTCTTCCAACGGAACAAAATCCGTAAGTTCAGCGCTCATCAGGTATTGCGATTGAGAGAGAGCTATAAGTATCAGCAGCAGACGCTATCCAAAGTATTGGAAAATTTGCCGAATCTATATTTCGATAATTGCCGGAGCGGCTCGTGTGGCAAAAGCGATTCCATGGTGTTCGACCCGAATAAAGACGATCTCAGTGGCATGGATACGTATTTCAAGGCGAAGATTGATGATCTAACGGCGGGACCGAGTTTAGAAGATGTTAATAGTGAATATTATACGCCAACTGAGCTATCATCGTCTAGTCCACTTGGTCAAAATGTAATGGATGGCATTCACATCAACTATATCGAGAAGAGTGGTCCACCACCGCCACCTCCGGGACTCGTCTCAATGTTATCTACTTCGACGATGTTACAATGTATCGACGAGTATGACAGCACGTTATCCATATGTAGCAACTATGAAAACAGCAACAAGCCAATTTTTAGAGGTTCCAATAATACAAATATTCTGGCCAAAGAATCGCGAAGACAGATTCCGGAAGCCCTGGGACTTTTAATACCTAGCAACAGTCTACCTGATCTTCCACGCGAGACTAAACTCTAGCCGGTAGTGCGTTAAAGCAGTCAAGAATGGGTTCCTGCTTTAGTTTAAATTATGAGAAACATAGAGAGAAACTGTACTCGAGTAATCGATAAGGTGAGGTGGAAGGATAATCGTCATTCTGCTCGATAAGTGGGAAATTGGTGTCTTCGAGAAAACTATTCGAAGCTTCTTCCGGTTGTACGACTAATTCGAATAGAATACCCTAGAAGACAGTTCGAGAACTCGTGTGTCAGTGCCAAGGAAACGAAAGAATCTTCTTCTGCAAAGATCAAGACTGTCGATTACAAGTGCGTGGGTGTGCTAACTAGAAGAACAAAAAAAATTGCGGACAGTTTCCAAGGACTCTCTTGGTATAGTCGACCTTGCAATCTGTCCGTCTTGTCAAGCAATGTGTCCTTTTCAGTGCGCTATCGTTTTTAGATGATCAATAGCATCCAAGAAGATGATGGAATAAAGATAAAATTATGCAAATTATGCATTACGCGCTTCGATCATAAATTAATTTCCTTTAGAAGCTCGAGACGAGAGAAAAACAAAAACTTTATCTAGTTGTCAATTCCATAAGTCTTAAGGTTTCCGCGAGGAATCATTCTTAACTTTTTGTAAATAGAAATGCGTGAAAGTTTCATGTATCAATGTCCGCGAAAAAAAAAAATTCGGATTCTATTCTCTATTGCGAAAGACTGAAAACAATGAGATCGATTCGCGTACAATCACTCATTTTAATTTCTTTCTCTTTCTTCGTCTCGATTTCCTCGCGAGTAATCGAAAAATAGTGCAGAACGCTGATTGCGTTTGCTCACATCCTTTTTTTTAATCGCTTATGATTAACGTAGTTGATTACAAATTGTTTGAGATATAAGAGTGTATATATACACACACACGCGCATATATATATATATATATATATATATATATATATATATATATATATATACATATATACATGTGTGTCTTATCGAAGAGAGAAAAGAAAGAAACGTATATATCGGAAAATATAACGTACGTACTTAATTTTTTAATCATTGTAGGAACATATCCAACTGTTTATTATGAAAAAAAAAGAAGAAATTATAATACAGAAATTATTGGCTGTTAGAATTTTTGGAATAGAAGCACCGCTTCTGAAAGAAATTGTATGTATAGTTTTAGTTGCAGTAAAAGTGCTATTATACAAGTTTTCCAAAAATGCGTTCCTTTGTTGAATAAATCTTGACGAACCGTCGCGAAGTGCCGTCTTTGTCTTAATCCCCATCCAAATTCCATCTCGCGAAATAAGAGATTTTTTGTAGAAAAATATATTGATAGTTCAATTTGAAAAATACTGAAAGTTTAATTTTTCAATGACTTTTCTTAAACAAGCGCTAAAATAAAAAGATAAAAGTGCTAATTAACAATAGGCAGTATTTCAATTCTGATAATTACTGTCGCTAACTCTAAACAATTTAATTAACGCGGATTCTAATTATCGAGATTACCATTGCAATATTGTTCAATGTCCGAGTTAAAAAAAATAAAAGTGACAACTGAAGAATATAGAGCAAGAGTGGGTTGTGTATAATTTGTCAAATCTGATTAAAAACTTTTTAATAAATCGTGATTGTTGAATGGACTATAACATGCAAAAAAGATTTAACAAAAAATCACCAATTTATGGACAGAATGAAATTCAAAATTCAATAATAAATTTCGCAAACTGAACAAAAACTTTTTTTAAATATGTTAGATTTATCACCTTGTATAAGATAGCAAGATAATTTCATTTAAAACCTTCTAAAATCAATTTATATTTTTAAAAGGTTAATTTCAGAAATGTTTTTGACATTTTTGATTAAGTTAATTGTTGTGAGTAATTAATTCATTATGTTAAAATTATTTTATAATGTATTAATATTGAAATATAAAATATATAAGTATAAAAATATATTAGAAACAGCAAAACACTTTTGTTTCGAAACATTTTTGCTGTCATATGAAATTTAAAGTTAAATATTTATGGATTTATCGCTTGTCTTGCTTAAAAATTCATCGATCTCGAATCGCAGAGAAAGCGCATATTTTTATATCGAAAAAGTCACGCAAAAAAAGGACACCTATATATTGATCGTCTATGTAAATAACACTGTGGATTATAGAAACGATTGAGTCGCAATAATAACGATATTAGTGAACGGAAAGGAAAAAGATGGAGGCTAGAAGAGCATTGTCGTTATTTTTGGATCGCGTCAGCGTCGTTATGCGTGAGATAAAGTTTTATCCTATTTCCTCCGCGTTAGTTAGAGGGGGAGATCGCGTACGGGATATACAAGACGAAGCGTAACCATGGCGGAAACCATATAGTGCTTGATGTTACGGTGTCATAATGACGCTGGGGGAAGCATATTCTATGTCGAGAAAAACCTGTGCAACTAATATCATAATTATCAGAAAAACTGAGACTCAGTAAATCATCAAATTCAAATTTAATAAAGCTGGAAAATTCAGTGAAAATTGAGTAAAAGGCAGTTTCAATTGGTCATAAAATAAATAGATATTAATTTCTAAATGACTCATTACCTCACTTAATCTTAATAGGTTGTATCAAAACATAAACAGAAAAGTTTATAATAAATAATGTTTATATATGATTGATGAAAAATATATCGAAATTGAGTCTGTGATGTAACGATATTTTTTAATCGGTAAAAACAGTCAGTTTTCTATATATCTAATATAATTAAATCATTTTTGATGGTATTTTAAACAAATATAATTAATATAATTTAAAATAATTCAATTAAAAATTTGTGTCAAGAAGCTTATATTTTGTTGTTGTGGGAGTTATCACTTTTACGAATGCTAAGTCTTATTTACAAGTAAATATCATAAAATATAATTGCAGTTATAACTGCAGTTATGCAACTACGTAATTATTGATGAATATATTCTTCACGATTCTTACAACAGTGTAAACATATACAATTTATTAATCCTCTTTCGTTTTTAATTTATTAATAATTTCTGCCTCTTGACCAATAAATAAAAAAAACATACAAATTTATTATTACTATTAAGTGTTCACATAATTCAAAAAATTTGTATTCCAATTAATTGTATGTGTAATAGATATAAATGAAAATTCTTCTGGAATGATTGAATCATTTTCTGTTATAAAGCAAATAGTGCATTTGCAATTATTAAAGATATATTAGAAATTAGTTGAGATATACATATCAATTAATATTTGCACACTATTTGCATTATAAGAGAAATGATTTAATCATCCCAGAAGAATTTTCATTTATGTCTATTCTATATAAGATACAATTATTTATGAATAATAAAAAAAATTAAGTTAAGAACTTTCTTAATAACATCTTAAAATGGCTTAAATTTAATTTTATAAAAATTTAATTATCGCAAACATTGAACACATAATTAATCTGCTAATCATTCTTGAAAATTAAAAAAATATATGCAAATTTTTGCTAAGAAAAACATTATTCTATATATATTTTTTCATATTTTCATCAAACAATGTTTCTCTCCTATTGATTTCCAACTTTCCACACATTCTATACTTCATCTAGATAAACAAATCGGAATGGCACTATATATATGAAATGCAAGTTAATCGTATCTAATCTAACAAATTTCGTACTCGCGCGTCTATGCTAGTTTAAATTAAGTTTATTTTCACTTTAATTTATCTGGTGTCAATTGAAATAACTACAAATATAACATATACCTTGCAACTGTAAACTTAATTTAAATTTATTAAAAATTTCAACAAATTGATAGTTGACGATAAATACTACTCATTTATTCAATGAATCTATTATCAATATAAATTTGTCAGAAGCGTACAATTACATCATTTTTATGTATAATATCTCAAAATGACAAAATCGATTTTTCTAAATCTTAAGAATCTTATAATATATCATTTGTGTATTATCAAATTATTATAATTATAGCTTCTCTCTGACAATAATATTTTAAGTATGTATTTCTATGTCAAAACTTTTTTAACAAGTGGATCTCTCTTTATTTACAGCTCTGTTCACTTTATTTAGGATTTCCCCATTTCTTTTTCCGAATTGTCGTTTCGATGATACTTTAAGAAGAATTGTGATGAAAGTTATTAAGTCATGAATAAAAACAATGAATTGTCAACAATGAATAACAAAAATTTTTAATATAAAATTTTAATAGCAAGGGAAGAGCTAGTGCGAACCGCAGATGCTAATGCGTAAATAATAATGTCAATATATATGACTAGCTTCTGTATAATGTTTGTCAAACCTATCGATCTATGAACATATTCTAAAGAGGACAGTCGTTACAATTTCAATTTAGAGGCACAATCATATACATATATACATATATATATACATACACATATATATATATATATATATATATATATATATATATATAACGTATATATATTTAGATTGCTTCTTCTATCAATTCGATGATGGAATTTATTTCATTAATAAATAAATGATTATCAATGCAGAAATTTAATTTACACAAAAGTGTTTGAAATTAATGTTCAATTAATAATTGTCAACTTGTCAATATAAATTCCATTATTATAAAGAAATTAGTTTTTAAATTTTTATTGCTCAATATCGCATTTATTATGAACAACCCTATGACTAAAATATTAAACTGCAGACCGATCGATATCAATAAATCTTTCATTTTTTTTATTTTTGATTATATAAAATAATATATGGAGAAAATTCTATTGATGTATTTACCCGCGTATTTCCAACATATAGTTAAACTGAAGTATATTATTGTGTTATATAACCAGACTAGATAAATGCAACTAGGCAAACACTCTTGAAAATAAAAAATAGAAACGAAAGATGAGAAATCTGAAATCTATTCTTTACGCTTAGAGAATAATTTAAACTAGCTACTCGAGTTATGGTACATCGAATCTTAAGTGAGAGAATCTTTCTCTGTTCCTTCGTAGATCGAAACTTGTACTTATACTTCCGACACATATATTTTTTATATATCGTTTTAAACCGTGAAGTCTTAACGCAAGAATAACGCGTGTGTAGCGCATACATAAATTAATTATAGCGTAAAGGACGCTAATCGCACTATTGACTTTAATTAAAAGGCGTACAGAAAATCAAAATAATTTGAATCGTGTAAAGTTGCTTCCCGGAAACGATTTTTCTGATATATTATTACATCAATAGTGGCGTAATTAGTAATAAGTGTAAGTAATTAGTATTTTAAAATTCTCCCATAAGAGATCCATAAAAAGAGAATGAAGTATACTATTATTGTGTATACTATTATTATTTTAATAACATTAAAACACAAATTTGTCTATTTATTGTCAAATTTTTTTTATTGATAATTAAATATTTATATAAATTAAAAAATGCACAATTTCTTATATTTTTTCTAATTTTACAAATAAAATAGAAGAGAAGCTTTTTGTCATTTTAAAGAACAAAAATTTATTATTAGTGAGTATATATTAAAAATTAGTTACCATTTGTGTAAATAATTATAGAGAAATAGAGATTATAAAATAGATTAGAAAATTTATTTCATTTGTTAATATCTAATGAGAGAAAGACTTCGTAAGAAACGTTGTTTTAGCGGAAATAATATCATAAGAAATAATTTTGTAGCAAAAATTTATATATTATAAAACGGAACGTATTTAATGATAAAAAAACTTTACTTTCCTAATGTGCAAGATGCTCTGAAATTATACCTGTTTGAAACATCCTATGCAATTTCAACTTTATTGAAGATATTTTTTAAATGCTGTGATTTATGAACATTCATATATTACGATTTAAGTTCAATGTATATATTATAGAATATATAAAACTCTAGAGAAAGAGAGAGAAATTATTCTATCTCACTTGAATGTCTTTTTGATAGAATTAATTGTAAGTCGATATGTTGATAGCAAATTGCTCTCAGAATTATTATAAAAAAATATTAAAAAGAACATAAATTATAGATATATAAAATCAAGGTGAAAACGTATAGTCAATTTTTTATTAAGTGATGTTTGCCAATCACTGAATTTGTCAAAAATATATCGATGTTAGGTTACATATCTATGTATTGTATACAAGTAATTGCTTGTATTACAATCCAAAATTTGAAAATTGCATACCAAAGAAGAAACGAAATGTAAATAAGATTATTAAATCCGATTTATATTAAAAAGATTGAGCAATTCTTATAGCTATTCTATA